AACAGCACATAAAATAAAACTTGTAGATTCATGCAGACAGAACCGGGGCGGGGGTACACATTGCAAATACACATAACTGAACTTTAATTTTAGAATGAAAAGCTGTCCTGAGGAGGGAGCAGTGATATGGCAGGGAGAGGAACTACACAAGTCTTTACCGGCTTACTGTTTTCTCAGCTCCAAATAGTCCCCAAGTTGCTATGTATCTAGTCCATTTCATTGTATAAATATAAGGCGAAAGTTAACTGGAGACTTTCCCTTCACCTGTCTGCCACAAAAATGCGGAAATACTTGTTTCTTAAAAAAATAAATAAATCAAACCTGAGAAATCAGAGGAATGAATATAACATGGTCATAGATCATTACAATGTTGCTGTGGTGCAGGGCTATGGCAACTGCAATTTGTTTTTTAAAAATGCCCTCAAAAAACCCTCCAATGGCATAGAAGGGGGTAAATGCAGGGAGAATGGCAGCTGGTGGAAGAAGAAGAGTTGGTTTTTGTATCTCGCTTTTCACTACCCAAAGGAGTCAAATCCAGTTCTCCAGATTAGAGTCTGCTGCTCTTAACCATTACACCACACTAGAGCAAACTGCACAAAACTCCACTGTGGATGTCCCATTGCCAGTGTGAATGCCTCTGCATTTGCAGCAGTAATGATGGGGTTATAAAGAATCCTAGCTATGTGGATGCAGCCAAAGACAGAAAACATTTTGTTCTTGTTCAACTCAGGATGCAAATATGTGTCAGTTAAAAAAGATTTCACGCCAATACTTCTGAAAGAATTAAGAATTACACTGCTGATACATCATACTTACATGTTCTGATGAGATCTTCTTGAGAAGTTCAGAACTGGGTGTACCAACAACTTCCATAATTCGTTTTAGCTGGTCAATATCTGCAAGGAGTTAAGAAAACTACAGGGAAAGGGGGGAAACAGCTAATAAGTCTCTTGCTTATATAACCTGCCAGACCTAGGCAGAATTTCTACTTCATCTTTACTGACATCTTTAATGCAAAAAAAAAAAAATGAACAAAGGAATAATAATAACAATAACAACAACAACAATAATAATAATACTTTCAATTTATTAATCGCTTTCCCCAGTGGGCTTAAAGCGATGTACAGTTACACATTTTAGACAGGGGACTAACAATGTTCATAAGGGATAGGGAAGACAACATATATTCATTTAATTGCACACGCTGTCACTGCACGGTGTAAACGTCTTCTGGCTTGGGTCAGTCATTTTCCGAACAGCTGCTTGTCGACGAGGCTTCAGGACCCGTATGTCACATCGCCACACTGCCACTGCCTGACCAGAAACATCCACTGCAGGGATTTTTGTAGCCGAGAAGTTCTTCCGCCTTTTCCGAACCTCGACCAGGACGTCCCGACTGTCAGCTTACACCCTCCCACAAGGGAGATTGGTGTGCCCACCCTCTCTAAGGAGTGGTTCCCATTTTATCTACTCGCCGAAGCTTTTGAATCGTTGGGTGGACGATGAGCTGGGGACAACAGGCTGGCTGCTCACACCAGTGCGGGGCTTGAACTAACACCATTCAGATGTTAAGACAGTGGGATATACTCTGATTGAAAGAGGAGGATGTGTGCTCGCTTCGGCAGCACATATACTAAAATTGGAAAGAGGAGGATGTGAACTTCAGTGAAGGAGCTGCTTCCATAGGCAAAGGCAGGAGATATTTCTTGTATTGCAAAGACTCTCTTGCAGACACTAGAAGGCCTTATTCTTTGACCACACCTGGGGAAATTGAAATGTGGAGGTGTCTGTATGGTGACAATAGCATTGATAACGTAGACAACTGTGAACAGATATCTTATATTCTTGGTCATTATGAGAATGCAACATATAGCCAGTTAATGTACTGAATAAAACATTTACTTTTATGGTTAAGCTATTATTTACCCAAAACAGCTAACAATATTTATATTTGTAAGTGGACTCATTATCTATTTTGCCAGCACTCCATTCTGCAAAAAAGTTGAAAACCCCTATAATTTTCAGCCTACAGAACGTGGTTCATTAGAATAGACTCAGCAGTGATCTAAAGATACTAAATGCTGGCTATTAAAAAAAAAAGGCTGTAGCATTTCCACCACAGATGGAAGGATTTCCCCCCAAGGAGCATGAATTCTCCCTCCTCCTGCTGCTCTTGAAATGCTGTTCATGATCCACATGGAGGGGGTGCGTTTTGGGCTGCACCAGAAGAGGGAAAGGCAAAAAAGTTGCATTGTACAGGCGCAAATCTTTCTGCCCATGGACACGCTCCAAGGCAAAGTCTGGTGCATGCAGAGTATGAACCCAGATTTTTTTTTCCTGCCAAAACATTTCCATCTTGCACTTCTTCCAAGGAATTTAGGACAGTGTATGTGATTCTCTCTTCATCTTACCCTCACAAAAACCCTGCGAGGTAGGTTAGGCTAAGAGAGAGCAACTAGGCAAACATGACCCAGTGAGCTTCACGGCTGACTGGGGATCCAAATTCCGGTTCCCCAGGGCCTAATCTGACCATGGCACCGCAATGGTTTTGCTCTTGCTTCTTAAACAGGATGACCTTCCTCCCATCTGTAGTCTTCTGGATCCTGACTCTCATGTTCCATTATCTCCTGTGCTCCAGCAGCCTTTTGGTGATGGGCACATGCACGCACATGGCAGCAGGACCCTTTATCAGGCCTTGGTCTTTGTAAATTCATCTCTAATTCTTGAGTGCTATGGGTACTTTACCGGGAGTGCCGCTCCCCGTATGAGAGATGCCTAGACACGCAACATAGGCTTCTGGTCTGTTCTTTCGAAACAATTAGGGCTCCTGGGATGGCTTACTCCAGTGTTTCTACTGATATCTGTGCTGCAGTCTCAAAGATATGCTATTTTTCAATAGGTTGCAAACTGGGGGGGAAACCCAACAAGTTTATTTGCTTATAGTTCTGAGTGCTCCAAAAGGTGAAGAGCCTGTTGTGTTTGCTGTGCGGCTTTACAAATACCCTCGGCAGCTCTGTTCTCTGAAACCCAGCGGCCACTGTCTATTTCAAGCTGCTTCTTTTTTTTAATCTGGGTCATTATTTAAACGAAGCATGAAAACAAAGTTTGTCAGGCAGCCTACTGTGGCTTAAGGACATGACGTTGTTACTCTCTGCAACAGCTAAGAGGTCCAGCTGTGAAAAACAGTTGCTTTAATTATTAGCAGTGTGCTGTTTACTGCACCAGTTCTTGCTAAATGACTAACACTGCTTTAAAAGCACCACAGCTTCAAGAGCGGAGGACGGTCCGGAGAACATTTTTGAACCTGTATAATTCTGTGGTATGTTAAGGATACAGTCATTTCCTGGGAAAAGGGCCTTGCCTTTCAGCAACTCAGCCATGATGCATCCAACTGACCAAATGTCCACTGTTAAGACACAAAACAAACAAGGCAAGAGAACAGGAGGCATTGCAAGACAGATGTCTTCCCAGCCACACCCTTCAGGTACCCTTTTTCATGCCACAACACAAAGAATAACGAATTCTTGTTCAGACTTACCTGTCTGATTGTAATGCATCCAATTCAACATGATTTCCGGGGCTCTGTACCATCGTGTTGCCACGTAGCCTGTCATCTCATCATCAGTCTGCCGGGCTAAACCAAAGTCTAAAATCTACAGAATAATCAACACAAACATCTCCCATTATTTTATTATACATTTTCGTGCAATTGTCATGTCACTGGGAGCAGGGCTTGAATTGTTTTAGGTAAGGAAAAATTGTTGCAACAAAGTTACAGGACACTGGTCTAAAATGTTTTGCTCATAATCAGTTTAATTTGCAACACCTGCCAGTTTCTTACATGGGATAGAAAATGCCGTCAAGTCACAGCCAACTTATGGCAACTCAGTGGGGTTTTCATGGCAAGAGACAAAACAAAGGTGGCTTTGCCATTGCCTGCCTCTGTGTAGCAATCCTGGACTTCCTTGGTGGTCTCCCATCCAAGTACTAGTCAGGACTGACTCCCCTTAGCTTCTGAGATCTGATGATATCAGGCTAGCCTGGGCCACCCAAGTCAGGGCAGTTCCTTATGTGCCCATGTGCACTGTCCAGGAAGAACACAGGGAAGAAGACCACACAGAGAAGTATAGTTTCATCTGAGCCCTATCAGTGAAAGCAGACAGTGAATTATACTTTTAGTGACCTCTTTAGGCATAGTGTCTTCATATTTACTGGCTCTGAAGTATCTCACTGCAACATCATGTCTCTTCATCAGCTCATGTGGTTTTATTCGACAGGCACCAGAACAGCAAGATCACCCCGTCCTCTCTTCTCCTGCCCTTATAATACAGCCTGTTTGTCAAGCCTTATGCCCACTTAAATTCACTGAAATGGTTCCACAGATCTGGGATGGAAAATAAAGCTATATCTTTTACTATAAAATGAAAGTTTCTATTTATTACCTAATCTAAAAATAAACCTATTACATGCAGGTATTGGGTCAAGCTTTCAAGAGCGCTTGAACAACCTGCAAGTTAAATTACCATTTTGATAAGAGGCTTCAATCACCCAGGAAGTGAGCTTCAGTGAAGGGCTTCAGGAATATTTAAGGGGTTTATACAGCTTAATTTGTAAACTAATCAATGTGCAGCATACATGCACAGAAACCACAGATTTCAGTGGAAATAAGCTCAGGTCAGGGCGGGCTCGCTCACTAGGCGAACTAGACTTTCGCCTAGAGCGGGGCCATCATGGGGGCGCAGGCGTTGTGGTGGGTGCCGAACTGAGTTGCCCTCCCCCTGCCAAAAGCCCCCGCCCCCGCCAAAAGCTTGCACTGTGCACCCTGGCCACCACCGCCTCTTCGCTCCCACCCATGGGGAGAAGAGGTGGCAGGCGCGGTGGGGGCGTCTAAAGTGGCGGGACAAAAGAAAGAGCCAATGGGCAGTCTGGACTGGACTGGGCAGCGGCACGGGCGAGGAAGATGAGCCGTCTCGGGACCGGTGCTGTCTCCTCTGGACTGATCCTCTTTGTCTCTGCCGGCCCGCCAATCCATCCCAGCCTTTTTATCCCAGCAGCCGCCCCTGGCTCCAGGACAAACCCTGCTGCCATGCCTGCCCTGTCAGCCCACATCCATTCAGAGCAACACATAACACCAACCGCCCCTTCCTCACAGCACAGCACAAAGGTTCTGGCCGACAAGACTCAACCGGAACTTTTCGGGGAGAAGTTATTTGCTTTGTGCTGCTCGAAGGGAGGGCAAGAGCACGCACACTCTGAGATCAGTAGGAGTGAGCTAAGCGAGCCGGACGTGGGACCCTGAGTATCTAGAAGGGGGGGGGCCCTCCTCCGAGAGATGTGAATGGGCCCGGCTGGAGGAAATCTGGCGTGTGGAGAGCGGGAGGGCCAGGACGATGGCACTAGTGGCAAGGTCCCGGGATTCGCTTGCATATCATGTTCAGGTTGGGTCTTTGGGCACGGAAGGGTGGGTTGGTTACAGTGGGCTCTCTGCAGCTCTGGATCAACTCAGAAGCGCCAATTATTCGCTCTGCACCCTAGATCTGTGGTGAGGGGGGGCACCACAAGGCAGCCTCGCGCCCCCCCCCGCAAGCTAGCCTTGTCGAGTGCGCAAAAAGACCTCGGGCCGGCCCTAGCTCAGGTTAATTGACTGCCTGACATGCTGCTCTTCTTCACATGGAAGAGTGGAGGCACAAACCTGCCTTCTACCATAGACACGATATGGGTGCTCTACCCAAATAACCTTTTTTAAATTGAAAAATTAATGCTCATTAGCATAAATTGTCCACTTCATAATCAAGACCATCAGCATGACAGATGGGATAGAGTGTACTTACTCCACTACTATGCAAAGCTAAGTACCTCATATAGTGACCCAAGGCAAAGTTGTATTTATTATGATGGAGTGAATGTTTCAGAGACCACAGTAGGCATGAAAAGATACACTCTACAAAATAAAGGGATACAGCAAATGTAAAAGCTGACAAGAAATGTCATGCTAGATTAGCTTGTTTCCATTTCTCATATTTAATCTTTTTTTTAATTTTATTTTCAAGATAGGTGCACAGTCAGTGAAGAAAATAAAATTCAAGCCAAAGTAGAAAATGTTTAGAGTCAAGAATGATAAGGGCTTAACCATCCTGGAGCTCTAAATATCTCAAAGAATTTCCTCTCTTAGATCTTACTGCAGACCCTAAGGTAGATAAAAGATATCAATGCTACAGCCACCTAGTACGTTCAAATAATGAGCATACACAGGGAAACATTTTTTGGTAGCTGCTCCACAGTTACAGAATTCCAAATCCAGAACATCATCTGAAAGCAGCAGAACTGGCTGGACTGTTTGGGTGACTATGTGGAAGCTGCAATTGAGTAAGAGTCGATTTACTTTTTGATTAATACAGTTCAGCAAGGTAAATCTGTCACGTTTCCCTATATCGATCTCCTTTTGTATTGTGACTGCCACAAGCAAAAGGGAGTCATGTAGATAATCACCACTGCTGGATCCTCACGTCCGGGTTAAGGGTCTCCATGTGTCATTTCCCTGAAGCATTAACATGTCAGTTTCTTGCACAGTGTAATCCAAGATGGCTCTTCGAAGGAAGGGATGGATAAAGAGTGACAGGTATTATTGATAATCCTAGCGGGGGGAAAAGGCCCAGATTATCTTTATGACATGCGAACAAAGTCTGGGCTGAGCCAGAGAAACAAGCCAAAGGGCTGTTGGCCCTTAGATGTCTCCCCATGGATCATGGCCAGAGATCTTATGTAAGCCGGGCCAGTGGATCCATGACCAGCCCATAATGTGGAGCACTGTACAGTTCTTTTTCCCCCCTGTTTGCTTTTATCAATATATTTAATTCTCAGCACAGCCAAATCTCTGAATACTTACATCCAGGGATTAAAGCCATGGACAGACAAGACAAATCTTTCTATGAACCTAATAAAAAGCCCCAAATTTGTAGAAAAATCTGAAATCTTAAACACATGCACACACATAGATGGATTTTTTAAAAACCCTCCAAAGTTATAGAAGCAGTGCATGTTCCTTTAAGAAGGAAATGCCCTCAGTGGGCATTGCTAGGCAACCACAACAGTACCACTAGCCTCCAAGCCTTGGTGTCTGTCAGTATTGTTGGTCTATGACCGTAATAATAAATGCGTGGTATCTGTCAGTAAAAGGCAGTGGGAAGGGGCAGGACCATTTCCAAGGCTGTTCTGGCCTTTGAAAAAAAGACTCATTGGGGCAAGGCCCAGCAGCAACCACTGGGCAACTTTCTACTACACAACTTACATGACTTACCCAAACCCAGCTGCTTGCTACTGCTCAACAGAAGCCTCTCCACAAAAGTCAATGTGGTACAGCGATTAAAGTTTCAGACTATGATCTGGGAGACACAGATTCAAATCTCCACTGTACTGTGTAATGTCACTGAGTAACTTTGATGCAGTTGCACATTCTCAGCCTAACCTACTTCATGGGGTTGTTGTGAGTATGAAATGAAGGAGAGGGAAATGATGTAAGCTGCTTTGGGTTCCCACTGTGGAGAAAGATGGGGTATAAATTAATGAAATAAATAAATACCAATATAGCCAAAGATAGTAAAAGGTAGGATGACGGCTGGGTGCAAAGAAGAGAAGGAAAAAGGGAAGGGTATAGTTGCCGAGAACAGCCTGGTCACTGGTCAGAGATGTGGGAGGCAGGGACTTGCAGATGGGGGGACAGGCATTCCCGGCACAATGATATCATTTCCAGCACAACCCGCAAGTGACATTACACTAGGGGCTGATGTTATAACACTCATCCCAAACTCTATGGTTTAACCATGGAGCTTTGGGTGACTGCACAAGCATCAACTTGTGTGATGATGTCACTTCTAGGTTGTACTAGAAGCTACATCACTGCATCGAGGACACCAACTGCACCCACCCATTTTTCCTGGGCATTTTCTCCCACCTCCCAGCTGAGTGGCAGTGGCCAATGGGAGCTGGTGGCAGGAAACACACACACACCCTCACTCC